CAGCAGCATCAGGTGACATTTTTTATGATAGCACTTCATAAAAACTAACTGTCTGTTACATTCTATCACAGCAACTCCAGCTACATGTAGTTGCTACTATTTCTAGTAATGTCAGTCTCTACTGCACATACTTGATCTTCTCAACCAGGACTAATTACTACTTTTCCTGGAATTGATGGTGTTTGTCCAGACTCTGTGGCTCGTAGTCTGCCTCTCCTACACGTACTGATACTAGGGTAGGAGCATCAAAACTGTAAATATTGTTTAGCGTAATGATACATACTTATAGACACCATTGATTATAATTATTAATACTATTCTTATAAATTTTACTATTCTATATTTCTCCCTCTCTCTCTCTATCACAGGGTGGTTATTTTTCTCAAGTTCGTAACACTAAGAAATCATCTCAGCGTTTACGTGAAGCACTAGTTGATTCTAACCTTTGTCTCCCCTTGTGTCTACTAACAGCCCAGCAAAGAGACTGTATAGTCTATAGAGATGGGAGCCATCTTCACTTGAAGCTAGTCTGCTCCATGTATGATAATGTAAGTTTTATTATAAATATTTTCTGATGCATATACATGTATAATTACTACTATATACATGTTTTTTATACTTGTGTTGTCTAGAAAGTTTTAGCTGATTCCAATCAAGTTTGGATTTTTTAATGAATTTTAAAAGTTGCTCCAATGTGGTATACTAATAATGAACAGTTAATCACCATCTTTCGATTGATGAGTAAAATATGAAAATATTTATTATTATTTCTGAAGTATACTACTATAGTGCATGATACATATACCGTACAGCTGGTTAATTTTGCGGAGAAAAATTTTGCGAATCCTTAAAAATAACCTGGTTTGCGGATTAAATATTTGCGGTTTTGACAGTTATTGTAGCATTATCTACTGTGGTCATGCATGAATTTCATTATTTTGCGGATTTAAATTTTGCGCTTTAAATGGAATCGCAAACTCGCAAAATTTAATTCCCCGCAAATATTTCCTGCTGTACGGTACCTTGTATTTTGTATATATAAATAATTATTTATTATTATTATTATTATTATTTATTCTCCTAGTGTATGGATACTCTGGTTCAGTTTGGTGGTTTCCTCTCATCTCATTTAAGTCCTGATGAGTACTCAAAGAGAGTCCCTTCACTAGATACCCTGATACAGGAGTACAGGATGACAGGGGACGTAGCGTTCTTCCTTTATAGACCAAAGATATTCTCAAGCATTGGAGTGAGGGAAAGGGGCGGGGCTTCAGGGGGTGTGGTTATAATTGGGTGGGGCTTAGAGTGCTGTGTGGGCGGTGGATATGATGATTATTTTAATGACAATTCTTATTATTTTTTATGAATTTTAAGTCTCCGTACTGTCTGATCCACTGATTATTATGATTAATATTTCTATTATTAGCTTCATGATGTCATTATGATGTCATTGTTCTATTTTTAGGTCAAGTTTGCCGAGTTAGAGAAATCCTTTTAAAATGTCACAAACGAAACCAAGAAATCAATAATGAACCGACAGGAGGTGAGGAGAGAGTTAATATTGTTCTATTTTTAGATTCCAATATCTATATTTAGAAACACTTCATTACATCATGCGAGGAAGTCTTTGGTCCAATTATAGAATCAGTCAGACCACTCCAACCGAGCAAAGTCTGGGAAGACATTAAGTATGTGTTTATTAATATTCATTTATTTATTTGTTTATTTGTTTATTTATTTTAGTTGTTCGTTCTATGTTGCTTTCTGGTCTCTATCCTTATATGATCTTCATGTTCCCAAGGAGCGGTACAATGATGAGATCAATAAAGCTAAAGATGCTATACAGGCACTGGAGAACAATCAAGAAATGGTAATAACTATTAGTTAATAACTAGCTCCTCCCACAATATTAATAACTGGCTCCACCCAGTGTGTCACAGATGATGAATAACTAATCACCATCTTTCGATTGATCCTAATGAAAATATTAATTATTAATAAACTGATTGTGACACATCATGTACTGATACATGTAATACATACATGTACCATAAGTTAGCTCCTCCCCTTTCCCCTCCCCCTAGCCGGCCAGTAAGAAGAAGAAAGAGCAGGAGCGGTCCCAGGCTCTCATTGATAAACTGATGGAAGAGAAGAAGAGACAGGAGGACAACCATCAGCTGATCATCAGCTACTTGAGGAACCAGAAGGACTCTTTTATCAATCCACGTTAGTTAATAATAATAATAATAATAATAATAATAATAATAATGAATTAATGATTGTGATGATATTATTGGTCCGTGTTACTGATCCATACTGAGCTGATACTCATACCAATACTGAATCATTGATTCTGATTTCATTTGATTTGATTCTGATTCCATACTGATTCTCTCACCAGGTGTCCTTAAAAGTCGTACATTGAATCGTCTGTTGCAGCTGTGTATATTCCCGAGGTGTCGGTTCACTACTCTTGATGCAATATATTGCGCCAAATTCATACAAACACTTCACATTCTGGAGACACCTAACTTCTCTACAATACTGCTACTGGATAAAGTGAGTTAACACTGAGTTAACACAAGAGTTAGCATTGTGTTAATGCATACTTAACACAGAGTTAACACTGATTTAATGCACATTGTAATGATGAAGATATTGGTCCGTGTTACTGAGAAATATCTGATTGATATCTCACCAATACTGACAAGCAATGTGATTTATTTATTAATATTTATTTTTTATTAAAATTTATTAATTTATTTTTGATTTTCTTTAGTTGTTTTCTGATGTTTCATGCACTGTATCTGCCTGTACTGAGAATGAAGTCAGAAGATATGGTAAGATTTGACACTGGAATCAGTGAATCACTGACACTGATTTGATATTGATTTGATACTGATTTTTAGGTCATTTCTTGTACTATTTGCTTGAGATGATCGGCCGCTGGCATAACAGTGAATCAATTTATATGGCTGTAAGTCATTATTATTATTATTATTATTATTGTTATTATTATTATTATTGTTGTTGTTGTTGTTATCATTATGCAGGAATGTGCTAATACTCAAGGTTTTGTCTCTACGATGAAGTCCTCAGCCTCCGGCAACGAGAAACTCAATTTAGACTATGAGAACTATCGTCACGTGACCCACAAATGGCACTACAAGATAACCAAATCCTTAGTGATGTGTCTGGAGTCCAAAGACTACATTCAAATCAGGAATGGACTGTTGCTATTAACAAAGGTATCAATGTATTCTTTATTAGTGTCATTGTTCTGTGTCTTCTCTTCTATCTTTATTTAGATCTTGCCACATTATCCTAAAGTGGAGCATCTCTCTTTGGTCCTGGAGAGAAGGGTTGGTAAGATCATCGAAGAAGAGAAGGACAAAAGACAGGATCTTTATGTACTAGCAATTGGGTAAGATAGAGAGAGGAACATTAACAATCATTGATAATTATGATAAAATTTTTATTTGTTGTTATTATTATTATTATATTTTTAGTTATGCTGGTATGCTGAAAACACAAGCCCCTAATCTTATTCCTGAGACAGAATTCCATGAGAAGGTAATTCATTATTTTCATAATTAATTTTATTCATTAATTACTATTATTAATTAACAGGTCATTAAGAAGGAGGAACCCGATACCTTGTCAAACGGTAAAGATGAGAAACCCAAGCCTAAACCAGCTCCATCATCATCTCAAACGAGTGATAAACCCAAACCTCCTGAAAAACCCAAAGTATCAACTAAAGCTCCCAAAGTACCAGAAAAAGTGAAATCCTCCGAAAATAAAGTACCAACTCTGCCCGCTACTGAGAAACCCTCTAGTACTGAACGGACTGAGAAACCAAAGAGTGTTCCAAAACCAAGCGAACCAAAGACAGACAAGATTAGTACCCCAAAAACTGGAGGAGGAGGAGGTTCTGAATCTAAAAGAACCCCCAGTGCTGAGAGAGTGTCATCTACCACTACCCCTACTGCTACTGCTAATAATAATAATAATGCTACTGCAAAGACAGGAGCAGCTGCTGATAAAGTAGAACCCAAATCATCGTCTAAAGTTGATCACAAATCAACTGATTCAAAAACCAAACAATCGGAGGAAGTCAAGACAAGTAAACCTGTTAAAACTGAGCCTGTTTCGTCACAAACCACACCTACTTCTGACGCTAAAAATATCAAGAAAGATGAAGTGATTCAAGCCACAGCCACTAGTACCACCGAACCAAAGAAAGGTGTGGTCACCACACCCACTCTTGAATCTAAAAAAGGTCTGTCTATATGCATACACGCACGCATGATTAATTAATTAATTAAATTATTGTATTTTTATGTAGTGCCTATGTTATCTTTAGAGAAGTTACCAAGTGGGCGTGTCACTCGTCCAACTGATTCCGACTCACCTCGAGGTCAGAGGAGACCACACCCAACAACTACAGGCGGCCAATCAAATTCATCTGAAACTCATGATAAAGGTGGGTTTGGTTTTTTGCTGCTGTGGCTATGATGAAGCTATTGGTCCGTGTTTCTGACCAATCAAATGACAGATAGTTACTATACCAACACTGAGCCACTAAAAATATAATTTAAAAAAATATATTTTTTAATCTTGGCGTTTTTGTTGCAGATCCAAAGAAAAGAAAGGTTGAGGAAACATCCACACCCGCTAAAGTATGGAAACCTTGTCGGCCATTTTGATCAATTAATTGTGTAGGCGGGACATGCCTCCTCCTCCCCATCAACTGATAAGAAGGTTACTACAACCACAACAGTAGCAGCTGCTACTCCTACTGGAGGAGAAGGAGGAGATAAAACTAGTGGAAAGACTTCAAATAATGTATCTACACCAAAACCAGAGAGGAAAAGGGTAGGTAATACTTTCTCTTTATTTATTATACTGATCATTATAGGAGAGGTTACCTGATAAGGATCCTCCCAGTAATAGTGAAGCTG